TCATACTTAATCATTTTAAATTAGATAAAGAAGAAGATTGCTTTTATCTTTCCATCTCTGTTCCATGAGAGGCTTGTGACAGCAAATAAATAACACAGCATTACAGAAAAGTCGCAAGGAATGACAACGAACAAGAGTAAAACAATAAACAATGTTGAGCTGTGTGACATACGTTTTTTTTTCTGTGAATTTCTGTGGTTTGTGTTTCCAATTTAGAACTGAAAATCTGGGAAATGGGAAAAAACAACTTGATCCAGCAAAATGCTGCCTCAGCAGATTCAACCCAGGATCTTTGCTTTTGTTTAGTGGAATACAAAAAAAAAATGTTTCTTGGTCATTCCAAAGAGAGATATGCATTTGGCATGCAGATGACGGGAAACTTGGTCTTGCTTAGAGGAAAAAACAGGAAACGTCACTTTTAAAGTGCACAGTCAACTGTCATACTGGCAACACCTGGAATAACACAAGATGCCTGTATTGAACTCTTCAGAGCTCTTATATGAATCATATGTGATGAAAAACACTCAAACACACCATCACACAACCTGTCCAACAAAATCATACACCTGAGGAACGTAAATAATACATTCAGGGTGAGAACACTTTAGGATTCAAAAGGGCTCATTTTTCTCTTAGAAATGTTGAAAAAAGTAATAAAATCTTCACATATTATGTATGCTCTGCTCTTGCACAAATCACTGCAAACAGATGGTGACACTGAAATGCAGCTTGAATGTAATTATTCATTTGGGACAGCATGTAAGAGGCAATTTAATATCACATGACGTGAACAAAAGACAGTTTTTATGGAGACTTAACTGGGGTTACTGACTTAAAATGACATTTGATCATGCTACACATTTACCACAGTCAGCTGAGGAACAGATATGCTTATGCTTACCTTGTATGAAATTCTCCAGCAGTTTGGGACTAGGTGGTTTTCCTTGTTGAGCAAGGGCAATGAGAGCCAAGCCTTTATACAGCGAGACTTTACTTAGGAATCCATCACCACTGTTTACATGTTCGGCTATCTAAAATGCAGATGACATACCTTTCAACCTGTGCAGAATAAGTTCCCCAAGAAAACCCAAGACAACCATAACATTTCCATTTCCAGCCATACATAATGTCATTAAACAAAGCTTGTGGGACGTAATTCAGCTAACTATCAGCTACGGGCTTTCTAGCCAATAATGACACAAGTAATCTGCAAGTCTCACCTGGTTTTGAACGGTGACGGAGAGAGATGTTCTGCTGAGAACTCTCTGGAATACACTTAAAGGCACTCGTTCGTCAGTTCTGGAGCAGATGGCTTGATGTACTTCACGATAGTATGAAGGGACAGATCCTACATTCAAAAGACCATAAGAGCTTAGCGCTGACATAACAAGGGAATTGACTTGGAATGGGTGACTGACTGGGAACATTTCAATTTTGTTACAAGTGAACACACTGAAATAATCATTTTTTTCCAAACAAGCCGATTGCTCCAACACTGACAGAATATTGCAGTTGCACAATGCATTTGTATTTTTTATTGAAGAGTTCAGTGAGTTCTTGTTAGACACAAACAATGTAAGTCTAATAACAAATGGAAACACAACCGAACTTAATAAAAAATAACATTAAATACAAATATGCCATCGCAAGCATATAGTAAATTAAATTAATTTAATAGAAACACAGCCGAAATGTATTTTATTCAAAATACATTTCCAGAGCTGTTCGGAAATTAATTGGCTTTTGAATTTCCATTCGAATCCAATGGCGTCGGACAAAATTTAAATATTCGCAGAGAAAATTATTTGATTGGTTTAAATCAGACTATCAAAATGGCAACATTCAGCCTATAAGGATGGGTGCAATTGACTGCATGCATAATCAATATAATTAACCATTCGGCTCTGCGCAACTCCTTTACAACTCGTTGAAATGGTGTCAAAGATTTAAAATATTAGCATATGTATAGGATTATGGACATATCAGCTTTACATTATTAACCATCATTGAGGTGTCAGTCTGGAAAACTTGAATTAACAGGTAATGTAGTCACTGAACAGGCGAAACCAGTGAAACAACAAATAAAAATAAACATTTACGCAAGAGCGCAAAGCGCATAACTCGCGGTAAGTTAAAGTGACTCGTGTTGTCTCTTTAGATATTTTAAAACACCATCAGAGAAATTTTAGAAGTCAAGAAAAGAAATTCGCTGACAAACTCTAGTACAAAAGTTACATAAATAAACCGCACGGCAAAACATTATCTGAAACTGTGAGATATATCGCTTAAATGCCTGTCATTTCCATTCCTTACCTTCATTGATGTCCGCCGTCATAGTTTAGATGTCATGTGAGTGTGATAGCACTTCCATGTGATTTCCAGCAGAAAAGAGCAGAAATGTCCCTCTCCTTAAAGTTGTGGTGATGTGGAAACACATGTGACAGTGGGTGGAGCCTCAGGTTCAACAGGCTCTTTGAGGACAAACACATCTTTATATGACATTATAGACTGGTATTATATGGTTAGAATGTTTTCTAGAATGTAATTCACTCAGAGATGTGATCTGTTAGCTAATGTAGCTTACACGACATGGCAAAACAAAACAACCACACTAAACTCACTTGTATAGATTTATCTTTCCAATAAATAAACCAGAAACAAAATAAGCAAATAGACATTGCATTGCCTTATACCTTTTGACACTTGTGTAGTTTATTGCTTATATGATATGTTTTGCCTACTATAGTAACTACTCCAGAGAATAATGATTATGCATGAGGGGAAGAAAAATGTTACGCCATTGCAATGTGAAGGTCTATGAAACCTCTGATCACTTTGCACTGTTCCTCTTTTAGTCAAAATAAGTTTCTGTTGAAGTCAAAACAACACATCCTGGACTAAATCCAATTTAAGTTTAGGGAACTGAAAACAATTGCTAAGAAGAGTTTATTAGTTATAAAGTATTGAGATTAAATTGTATGTAATTTTTTTTTTCTCTGACCAAGAAAAGTTTTGAGATATTTGAATGCATCAGTGAATACATGATAAAAAAAAAAAAAAAACATTTTTGATAAAGCTGAGATCACATTAAAAGTTAATTTGTGAATTGATTAGGAGTCATAAGAAACCTTGATGAATCATTCCTTGAGACCTAAATACTTTTTATTCCTATTCACATTGCATCAGCATTTCCAGTAAGGTGTGAACGGCTCAGCATATTGTTGACTAATTACCATATTAGCTCTGTGAAGCTTAAATGCCAAAGATCAAAATGACTTGCACATCTTAGCTCATGCAAATATATTAATGCCAGTGCAGTGGAATGAAACTGAAAAGACACAATTAGTTAGGCTCAATCAAGAATGTTACTAGTTACCCTGTATGCAATGTTGTTAATTACCAAATCTACTAATCTGGACAGGTACCAGTACTTTTTGGTTATGGCACTGAAATTATGCAATTGTGTAAGTTCTTTCACAAAGCAGGTTGAGTAGCTTAGTGAGACAGTCTATTTATCTTGCCAGATTTAATAGATGAAGCCTATATAAAATAGTTTATATAAATATATATATAAGGCCAAGTATTAATCATTACTTTGATGATGGTGTACATTGCCATTAACCATCTTAAATTAAACCCACTCTGATTACATTTTTGTTTCTCCATCCTGGCATATATCTTTATGTATTTTCATTCTTTGGTGAAATGCATGTTCTATTCAGCATAATAGCAGAAACCATCACACAGTTTTAGGTTTCATTTAGACTTGTTTTGAGAAAGTGTGTTGACTATCTTGCAGGCATGAAGACAGAATTCAGATATTCATTTATAGTGACATGAATGGGTAACAAACCAGCAACCCCAAACTTGCGTAGGTTTGAAATCCTTAAGCTTTTGGTTAAAGTTCATTTTTGTGGTAGTTTCTCCCTATGACCGCATGGGGGTCAGGTTCAATTTGATAAAAGTACACTATATCAGGTCTTTCTTTCAAACCAAAAACTAGTTACAGTTTTGTGAAAATGTTTGGCTTGGCTTATCACAGTAAGTTGTTTATTTTTGAGTCTTAAGGGGCATTTTTCAAAGTATGCATTCATTTTGTGCACTGATTCCCCAAAATGCTATCAACATAATGTTGTATCAGCATTATATTTTCCATCTACTTCATTTAATGTAATAAATTGTGTTTTTAGAGTCTCAATTCAATCTTCTTAATCAGAAATTAAATTCAAAGTGGTTAAAAAGTGCAAGGAACTCCATACTAACGTTTGGGACCTACAATGCGGTATTTAACCCAATTTATTTTTTTTTTTTTAATTGCTAGTAAATTTCATAAAGAAAAGAGTAAATTTTGAAGTAGAAGAACTAAAACAGTTTGTGTGTTTCTTGTAAACATACTCCAATATTCTTTGTTTTATTTAAATAAAAATAAAAGTGTAGTTACAGTGTATTTTTTACTGTGAAAAACCATCACATTTTAATGTAAAAAAAATCAATACATTTGATTTGATTTAATTTTATTTAATTTTATAAATGAATTTTATATATTATATTTTATGAACAAAAATTTAATATTTTCAATCATTTTAAGCCATGGGGTTGTTACCCCAAAACATTGTGAAACTGTCTACTGTGAAAAATCATCACATTTTACCTATAAAATTAATACTCATTTAATTAAATGTTTTAAATAATTTAATTTTTATACATTACATTTATATTTTATTAAATAATACATTTTCCAGTTATCGTTATATCATTCATTTTATATTTTTATCATGTTACCTTTAATAAAACTTGAAGGAATATGTTCAAAAATCAACCAGCTGGTATAAGCAATATAAAAATATCATCAGCCTCTCTTTCCAAAAAGAACATTTTTAAAAATATTAATGAAAAATACGTATATATAAATTGAAATAGGTGTGTAGTATGTGTAGTACTGTGTCTGAGCACTAGATGTCAGCATTCTCAACAGTTGTCTCGTACCCTGACAAGACTCTACTATCTCAACGTGAGTTTGTTACGGTGGCATCGGGCTCGTTGCTTGATTGCTCTTCACTCACTCACACTGTATTAGAGATCATCTCACAGGGTTTTGTCGGCGCGGAGGAGTCGCGTGGCGTCCACTAACCCACACACGGACATTTCGACTTCACAAACACCTTCCCCGGTCATTAGGACTAATAAGGACAAAAGGACGGAGGAGTTCCACCGTGGGAATGACGGAGCCGCAGACAAACGCTTGGCACTAATCTCGGCCATTGACTGACACATAAAGCAAGCAAGGGCGAAACATCTTAAAACTGGCTGGCGTTGAGAGCAGCCTGAGGACTGAGGCTTGGGTCTCGAAAGGATTCAGCTCTGAATGCTTGCATATCTCAGGGTTTATTGTGTGCATGCGTGTAGTTTTAATGTATCCAAACAATAGGCAGTTTGGAGAGGGGAAGTAGGAGCTTGTAATACACGCTTCCCTTGTGTTTGCCAGCCAGCCGGTAGGCATAGGGAAGCTGAAGTCCTGTTTTATACAGCTGGACACTTCTGAAGCGTTTTAAATTATTAGCTCTTTACCGATCCACGTTGAATAAGTAAACCCCTCGTTTTACTTAACAATTAGCTTTGGGGTTCTCTCCAGGGACTGCTAGTTAGTCGTTTTTAGCTCCATATCACTGGATGAAGGACGATAGATGTGCATTTTCCAGGGAAGAGCAGCTTTATGTGTGACTTTATAGTCTAATGATTTTGTTTAAGCACTGACAGAAGTTTTAAACTTCCTGCTTTAGTTTCTCTCGGCTCGGGGTGTTATTGTCATAAAGATTATGGCAGCCGTTGTGAATTACTCTCCTCCGTGGTGGGTTAACCTTCTCCACAGACTGCCTCACTTTAATCTGCAATTTGAACAAACCAGCAGTGATTTTCGACCGGAGGACTCATCTTACCAGCAGGTAAGTCCACGCATTACAGTAACAATGCTACTGTTTGATACAGCAACACGTGTAGATTAAATGCTGTTCGGTAATATGAAATGGTTTGTGTTGAAAAGTTGATGATACCGGTTGAAAACCATTCTAAGCAATATCACACAAGAGCGCTGTTATTCTGAATATAGGCACAGCTGTAGGATGGTAGTAGCAGCCATGCTGATATTCAGTATATAACATGACTAAGGTTTGCTTGAATTAAGTGATTTATTTTATTTAACCTTTGTTTGAGACATATATTGACCCAGTTAGTTCATGTATTTCTTCTCAGCCAACTAAATCAGTTACAAAAGTTGCCAAAGCATCAAGGGTTGCTTGTCAGTTGTCATCTTGCAAAGCTGGACTGGAGTAGCGTATATGACTGTCTGGAACAAAGCAATATTCCTCGCTTTTGGTCAAAGAGTTCTATAATCATTCCAGATTTTCCATTTTATTTACAGAACAGTAGTGAACATTGCGTTCAAGTCATGTTGGAAAGGTTGTATTTATGGGGACATTCTAAAATGCTTAAAGGGGTCATATGATGCGATTTCAATTTTTCCTTTCTCTTTGAAGAGTTACAAGCTCTTGGTGCATAAAGAAGATCTGTAAAGTTGCAAAGACTAAAGTCTCAAATCCAAAGAGATATTCTTTATAAAAGTTAAGAGTCAGCCACACCTACCTAAAACGGCTCGTTCTAACACGCCCCCACATGTCTACGTCACTATGTGGGAAGATTTGCATAACGCCGCCCAAATGTTCACGCAAAGAAAGAAGGCGTAACTTATATTCTCGCTGTAGTATTGTTGTTACCGCCGCCGCCATGTCGGGAAGGTGCTGTGTGTTTACCAAACTACTTTGTTTGGCCTTCCAAAAGAGGACGATATCCGCTTCATCATGCCTGGAGCTGATCCGTGCTGGTCGCTGAGGAAATACATCAACTTCGCGCTGTGGATCGCCAGTCCAGCCCGGGGTCGTCACATGTAGTGTTGTCAAAAGACCCGGTATTTCGGTACCAAGTCGGTACTAAAAAAATGAAAACGTTACGGTACCAGGTTTTTTTAAGTACCGGTGGTACCGAGTACCTGGTCAACCCGGTTCTTGATGTGCTATCAGAAAGCTATCCTCTTCCAGTGTTGCCAAGTCCGCGGTTTTCCCGCAGGATTGGGCTGCTTTAACACTGTTGCCGCGGGTTGTTTTTCATGTCCGCGGGTTGAAAAACGACCCCATTAACGTGATATTTAGCCCCTGGAATGCGAATTTTACCAGAGGAACCCCGCCAAAACATGTGTATTTTATCCTCGGAACGTGATTTTTAACGGGACCCCCTCGAAACGCGAATGGGTGGGTTTTGTTGTGAAAACCTGGCAACCTCTTCTTAAAAGCAGTGGTGACCTCAAGAGGAAACGCATCAAACTAACAAAACACCCCGATCAAGTTCAAGCAGGTAAGTTTCAATTACATTTTTAATATTTAGAGCTTCTGTTATGAATATTATTCCATATTTTAATTTGAATTTCGGATTGAAATAAACATCGCCGTTAGCGTATTCGTTAGCATAAGCCGGCTAACGCTAATATAATGAGCATTAGAATGAATTTCATATGACCCCTTTAATGTGGCTTAATGGGATAGTTCACCCAAAAATGAAAATTCTGTCATTAAAGGTGCAATATGTACGATTTTTTTATTAAAATATCCAAAAACCACTAGAACAGTTTTATATATTTTGCGGACTTGTGTACTTACATTATCCCAAATGTTTCGAAGAATGTTTAAATCCAGAGAAATAAGCAATTTTAACTAGTGCTCCGGACCGTGTCTTTAATGTCACCTGCCAATGACGTCATGCACCCTCGATTTCCGCGTTTTATTAGACCGGTGATGACCGCACAGAGTAGCATTATAACAGAACTTTCAAACATATCTAGTATGATAAAACAGTGCTGCTTTGCACGACTGGAAGGAGCGGAAGCGCTAAAGTGTGGCATAATAAAAGCTCTGCTGCTTTCGAGCCGTGTGTCACTCTCGTCTCTCATTAGCAATTGCTTCAGCGGCCTCGTTTCGCTTCGATGGCTTTCCGCCTCACCCTGCTTCATACTACGATGTTAATAAATATTTAATACATTAGCTCATCCATGAACATGATTTCCGCCCGTTGGATTGCATCGGCTGTGGGGATGAAGACAACAACTCCCATGATTCCACACTTAGTCACGGCGTCATCAAACTACGCCTTTGTTTGTTTTGAATACGTGCCTTCTAGCGGAGAAAACTTACATATTGTACCTTTAATTACTTATTAATTACATTACCCTCATGTCGTTCCAAACACGCAAGACCTTCATTTATCTTCAGAACACAAATTAAGATATTTTTTACGAAATCCGAGCGCTTTCTGACCCTGCATAGACGGCAACGGAACTACCACGGTCAAGGCCCAGAAAGGTAGTAAGGACATCAATCTACAAGAATACTTTGTGCGCAAATAAATAAAAAATAACGACTTTATAAAACAATTTCTTCTCTTCCGTGTCAGTCTTCGATGGGCATTCATAAGAGTACCAGAATGTGCAAAAAGTATTCTCGTAGCTTCATAAAATTGCTGTTAAACCACTGATTTTAACCAGTGTCCTTACTACCTTTCTGAGCCTTGAACCTTTCAGTTGTGTTGCTGTCTATGGAGGGTCAGAAAGCTCTCGGATTTCATCAAAAACATCTTAATTTGTGTTCCGAAGATGAACGAAGGTCTTACAGGTTTGGAACGACATGAGGGTGAGTAATTAATGACAGAATTTTCATTTTGGGGTGAACTATCCCTTTAATGTTCTAAAACAACGACCAGGAGAAAACGATTTTCTCATATAATTCTTGCCATAAACACTATCTACTACTAAGACAATGGCACTCTAATCCAAGTAGCAAGACAAGATTTTTACATAAAGGTTTTCCCCTTAGAAAACCATTATAAAGAAAATGCTTAACGTGGCTTAATTGATATTAAAAGAACAAACTCAGTATACACATTACTAATAAAGCATACTATGTACAATGTACAAATATACATTTGTAAATACGAACTGCCCAGGAGGACTGAAACGCATTAACAAACCCATATATACCTCTTTGTCTATTGAGTTAGAGCACTAGAACAAACTGTTCATTTTAGTTCAATAGTTAGTGGCAGCTTATTTCTTAAAAGATTACACAGATAATTTTATGTGCACATTTCTTTGTGCCATAAAATGACAGTAACTATAATTCAATCTTTATTATGAATTCATTATTGTTATTGCATCTCTCTAATGCTGAACACACCCAAGCGTGGCTGGTGAAGGTAGAAAGTAGGCTTCTGAGCACCTAATACCTCTAATCAAAGCTCCTTAAATCAAGTTCGGCCTTCACTGTTGTTCACTTTATGGTGTGTTGGGTGAAACCAGTTGGTAACTTGGAATACACATTGATGATACCGGTTGAAAACCATTCTAAGCAATATCACACAAGAGCGCTGTTATTCTGAATATAGGCACAGCTGTAGGATGGTAGTAGCAGCCATGCTGATATTCAGTATATAACATGACTAAGGTTTGCTTGAATTAAGTGATTTATTTTATTAATTATTTATTTTAAGAGAATCACTTCTCTTTCAGCTAGAAGTGTAGAGGAACTAGATAAAGGCAAGAATGAGTGGTTTAATTTAGAAACAGCAGCTGCAAGCTGACGGCCTTATAGTGCCTGGAAATCATGCAGGCACAGAGATGTTAAAAATTGCTCGAGAAAGCAGCTGAGATGGAGAGCAGAAGTGAAGGCAGAGAATTTACTGCTTCTGGGTCATAAAGCCCAGGATGGACTGTCAGCTGTTTGAAAACGTTTTACCGGGGATTTTTCGAAGCATCAGCACTGAAAGAATGTCTTAAAACAGCGTGGCAGAAACAAGCTAAAGCACATGATGAAGCAATTTTCGTTTTTTACTGTTGTGTTAAGGGATCTAACCTCCTCTTGTCAGATGCCATTGACATCAGGTGCATATAGAATTACAGACAACTTTACTTGAAATGTCTAGAAGCTCCTCTGCATGGTTGGAGAGGAAGGCCTAAGTCCTAAACAATAGTTTTTTTACTATATAATTTTTAAAGTAAAGACTAGTACCCTTTGCAGCATCGAGTAGTCCTGCATTCTTCTTTTTTTTTTTTTTTTGTCAAAGTAAATAGTTAAAATGTGACATTTTTGTATTATTAATATAGAGGAAAATCTAAAATATTAGTTAAAGAGCATTATCAGATATCTCAGGTACTGACACTGATTATATTACAGTTTATGGCTGAAATATTGAAGAAAAAATCTTTTTGATTTTCTACATTTATCATACAAAATAAAATAAAATAGACGGGATGCTCGAGCAGCTTGTATTAGCAGCCTGTTCTATGTAGCATTTGTCTTGGAGTCAAAGCACAATGATAACAGACAGCACAGCTGAGGATGGGGGAGCGAGAGAGAGAGAGAGGGGACACCTGCTGTCCACCGAATGGCGCTTGTTCACAGGATTGGAATTAACTAGAGATGTCATCTCGTTTGGCCACTAGTTAGTGGTTAAGCTCACTCCTCATGTCCCAGTTGGGGTTTCCTTGATGCGCTTATCTGTGAACTTTGTCCTACTTTTAATTTCACTTTAATATTTTTACTTTTGATGGTCTGTTTCCATTAAAAAGAACAAAGTCAGCCTTGCTTTTAGCACAAAATCATTATTTATTGATGCCGCTGTCTAAATATTCAGTTGTTGGGGACTGCTTGTAGCGTGGAGTGAGATGACAGGTTATTAATGTTGCTCAGCAGACTGTCAACACATGTGAAGTTGCCCAGCTAATGCATGTACTAAAGAAAGTTTGGGTAATGAGTTTACCTTTAGCACAGGAGTTACTGCCCTTAAAGTGGTGCGTGTCTGTGGAATTTCATTTTTTTATAATATTTTAACCAGACGTATTTGT